ACTCTGATTAATTGATCTGAAGTCCTCCAATGAAGTATCTCCTCTGGTTGACAGCATGGTGTCTCCTAAAACTAAAGCCACTAACTAAGACTGGTCTATTATATGAGTAGCGCAGCGCCAAATGTGATAAGCGCCAAGACCAGTCCTGTAATTACTACATTAGAGCATTAGTGTCAACTACAGTAGCGTATAATTAGCTTCGTGAGATGCATTAGTATCTGTTGTAATTGGGATATGTTATCTCTCACTTACTTAACAGGATGCCACGTTAACTGTCACCAAAACCTAGGTGCTGTAGATTAGAATACATTAGGTTAGATTAGGTTAGGTTAGGTTAAGTGAGGTTAGGTTAGATTAGTTTAGTTATCAAAATTACCAAGATTGTAAAACAAAATCAGTAAATAATAGGGTGGTAATAATAATAATGAGGGAGATAGGAAGAAACTGGTTCACAAATAGGGTGGTGGACGAGTGGAACAAGCTTAGCAACTTTGTAGTAAGTGCGGGAACTCTGGAAAGTTTCAAAAGGAGACTAGATAAATTCATGGATGATAGAGAGTGGTAGTAACTCTCGACAGGAGCTGCCAAGCACAGGCCAACCGGCCTATTGCAGACTCCTTATTTTCTTATGTTCTTACCTGTACTTGTGATTGCATAATTAACTGCGCTTCTATCTGTACTTGTAATTGTATCTGTAAATATATCTGTATTACTGCCTGTACCTGTATGTGTACCGAAACTGTTTTTTTTTTAATTAATAAAATTCTATGGCACAGCACGTCCACTAACCTACACTTACGGCATGTTGCTAATGGAGAGTCTACTAACACGTGTGTACACGGGTTCCCCTCTGAGCTGAATAAAATTGTCTGGCGTTAACTAAATACAATATTAAAATTGGTGTCCCAGTAGTGAAGGGGTTAAACAGGCACAAACTCTCTCCAATTAGGTTACAAATCTAACCTAAGAATCTTTTAGAATCCATCTTTGTGTCGCATCTTAGACAGACAGACAGGCAGTGGGGTCCGGTACGTTCTCACACCACCAACTGTGGGACGATCCTTGAAAACCCATTTTGTGTCGTGGTTCTCATAACTCAATTTAGGAGAAATATGTAACGCAAGAATCTCTGATAATGTGAGCTTAGAGCAACATGGAGGGCGCCCCACACCTGCATCCTGCTGGGGTGAGTCACAAGTCTTGGGGTTCTCAGACGATGACCTCACACCTTAAGTAACAGTAGCAGCAACAGATCGTATAGTGTACGAGTACAGTAATACAGTACAGTAATACACACACACACACACACACACACACACACACACACATATATATATATATATATATATATATATATATATATATATATATATATATATATATATATATATATATATATATATATATATATATAGTGTACAGTACACTACTACCTACAGTACATGTACACATCTGTACTATTTTTTACACTATAATGTGAGGCACACGGCCCAAAACATATTTGAAGACACAAAGGATCAGGGGGCCCGGCCGTGGCCTAAATACCATGAAAAGGGGTCACATAAGCCTGGCCGCCCGTTAGGGGCAGTGCGGATACAGTACACCGTAGACGAAGACTTTTAAAAGTACACAAGGAGACAGCATGACCGACACTGCACTTAAACGCTTCAGTTTCCCCAACCGCAAAATTAGTTTCCCTTTTACAGCTGGCTGAAGTCGGGGCGGGGCGCCGTGGACAAGGCTGTATCCACACCCAACACCCTGAACCACTAAAACAAATCATTAGACAAACTACTGTACTGTGACTGAGTGACGGAATAAATACATGTGTTTACAGATATGGTTGAGCTAATATTTTATGGATCACCTGTAGATTACCCATCCCCTCTTACTTCACCTGACGGGTAAACATCCATACGCTACCTGGGTTACCAGGTTTGGTTTGTTGTTACATTAAGTTGCTAATAGGTTAGGTTAGGTTTGGTGAGCATTATATTAGGTTAAGTAAGCGTTAGAGTAGCTTATCTTAAAGTAAAATAAGGCAGAGGATAATATTCATGTTTTCTATTTCCTCTTCCATCAAATAAACGAAGACGTTGTTGAAGGGACAGTGTGAACCACGGCCCCTCACCTCACCTGAAGCAGACGGACGCTCATGTACTGTACAAACCCCTAAATAAAGTAAGATCCCATGAGAGTTACTTTGAGGTCAACCACTTGAGGAAAAACTATATACTATATCTGTTGAATATATTATATATGACAAATATATTTCAATAACAGGTAATATTATCTCTCTCTCTCTCTCTCTCTCTCTCTCTCTCTCTCTCTCTCTCTCTCTCTCTCTCATGGATAATAAAGATGAACCATGACAATACCCATACTACTTGTTCCTAATAATAATAATAATAATAATAATAATAACACTACACTGATTATGTCTCCCCGCCGGGTATACAGTAAGATATAATACAAATAAATAAAGCGCAATGCAGTCAAGGACTTCCTGAAGGTAGTTACACAACATGACGTCATCCACCTAATGAGTGAAGCCTCATGTGAGCCGGGTGTCATGCACAGGCCAGTATGCATTACACAGTCCCCGCCTCCGCACAAAAACCATCACCGGGTCGGGTCGGGTTGAGATAAGATAAGATGTGTTGAGTTGAGTTTGGTTACGTCGGGTCGGGTCGGGTTGGATTACGTCGGGTCGGGTTGGGTTGGATTACGTCGGGTCGGGTTACGGGTTGCGTCGGGTCGTATAGAGTTGAGTTGGGTAAGATTTGACTGAGTTGTGCTCTGAGGAGAAGTGATTTTCAATTAAAAATAAAAATATAATTGGTACTAACAAAGTATAAATCACCCCTCCCCCATGTCCTGCCACGAACATAATTATAACAATAACAATGTTTTTTTCCACAGCACTTGGTCCCTGTTGTGTCACATATCAGCCTCCTAGTTTAAAACGTGAGTGAGATACCGCAAGAGAACAATAAATGAAACAACCAACCAAACGAACGGGGGGAGCAACCACTCAGTAACCCCCCCCCCCCCTTAAGAACTCATATTTGGGCAAGCACTTAAAGCACAGCACCCGGAGACGACAACATGGGGTAAGAAGGGAGGGGAGAGGAGGGGCGTCGGTGTATAATAATTACCTATGTTCTTTAAGTTAACAGTGAGAGACGTTAAGGTATATCTGTAAATGATCATCCAATTTTTGCCTCTGTACACTGTGCAGGGCTGATCATCGTATAGGTGCAGTCCAAATGGGCCTTGGTGTTAATAGTCCTCCTCCCGTCATTATTAAGCCCCACTCTGAATGGCTGTGTTAGGCTGGACCCCAGTGCACAATTCACCTGCAACCAGTCAATGATTACTATCATTGACAAATTTGTTTTTGTGTTGCTACAGAAGAGGATGACGCCTGGTACACTGGCAACATTCCGAAGGTTTAGGTAAGACTGGGTGAGAGAGACGGGACAAGCATCTTGGAATTAACCAGACATACCACTAGGTGACGCGACCCACTACATTGTGCCTTATACTGAAGTAATACTCACCTTGTAGCTCAGCAGAGGAGTATAACTACTGTCACATACACTACAGATGGTCCACCTCCAAGGACTTCCCTATAGCTTTGGGTGTATTTTGTGTGCGAGATAATAATGAAGAAAGATAATAACATTCATTGTTTGCCTTTAGTTTTTAGGGCCATTGATAATAATCATATATAAGCTAAAGGCACCACTTTTAGGTTAATTAACAAATAAGAATTTACTGTACTTGTAGTATTGTTTCTCGTTAAATCACCTGAGTTTGACAGAATCTGCAAATATGTGGAACTTCCCCAGTACACGTCCTCCCGTCTTCATATAACCTGCAGGCCTTAAGTGTAGACCTCACACGATGTTCCTAACACCCATAAATTCATGTTCTCTCGCTAAAGTTATGGCACTTTCTCCCGTAACGCGCCTTTCCTACCTTATAAGTGGTGCAGGGATCACAGGCACCTCCTTGGCATCCACAAATTTATGTTTTCTCACGCAAGTTGCTAAGCAATACAAGGAAATAAACTTGTGAAGCACCCTCCCCTCACACGCCTTCCCTTCTTCACATAACATTCAAGTGTAGGATTTACCATCAGCACCGTGTTGGGTTTACAGGCAACTCTTAACATTCGTATACATGTTTAAAGGCAACAGGATATTACATCATCCTATTAGGCTTCCTCCTTAAACACAACTTTCCTTCTACTTATAAAGATGAAACACTTCAAATGGAGGACTCACAAGCACCTCTTAACACCCACCAACTGATGAGGTTCTCTCTTGCTTTATATGGCAAGTTAACTTCAATATAGGTCACAGGGAGGGTTGGTGCCCTGCCCTGCCCTGTGCATCTCATCTAAATTCCTTCGTGAAGTTAAGTCACCACCCAGCAATTCGTTAACTCAAAATTCATCTACGATCCAGTTAACTATTTTCCAGTAACTTGATTAATTACAGTAACCTGACTAATTAATGCACCCAAATCCTGATTAGCTAATTATCTAAGACCTAGTTAGTTCATTTTCTGATCACCTGTCACTGTTATTTGGGTAATCAAATGGAATACAATAAACTGCTTAGCCGGGACCTGTTTGACTCACAGTAAAGGCATGGAACAAGACTCGCCTGGCAAATTCTTTACATCTAGTTATACATTTTCAAGTATTTAAGTTAAGGAACTGGGGGTGAATAGAGCAACGTGGGGAGAAGGGGGAGCCGGGAGGGGAGTTTAGGGTGGTTAAGGGATAATAATTCATGTCTTAGGTAATTATCCAATTCTCGGTCAACTCAATAAAAAATATACTGTCAACTTCTATCAATTCACCAATTATTCCAGAAGTCATTATTCTGAACCGGAGAAACTAAAGACATCCGGCTCACTACAACGCTCATTGTAAACAAACACAAAGACAGATTCCCAACCTCCCACAACGCTCTATTAACACTCACGGACATATGACTCGTACGACGCCGTCCAGAGCCAAGGATCCTCTGATTCCTCGTTCAGTCCCGGGCATATCCATGTTGTAATGGCCACTGGCTCCTTCGGTGTCTCTGGTTCTTTTAGGTCCTCCTTCAGAGCCTCTGGTACTTCTGTTGGAGTCTCTGGTTCTTCAAGGTCCTCCTTCTCTGCCTTTGGTTCTTTTAGTTCTTCCTTGAAAGCCTCTAGCTCTGCTGGTTCTTCTAGGTCCTGCTTGAGAGTCTCTGGTTCTTCTAGGTCCTCCTTGAGAGTCTCTGGTTCTTGCTTCGGTACATCTGGTTGTTCTGTTGGAGTCTCTGGTTCTACTAGGTCCTCCTTGAGAGTATCTGGTTCTTCTGTTGGAAGCTCTGGTTCTTCCAGGTTCTCCTTTAGAGCCTCTGGTTCTTCCTTTGGTACATCTGGTTCTTCTGTTGGAAGCTCTGGTTCTACTAGGTCCTTCTTGAGAGTCTCTGGTTCTTCTGGTTCTACCTTCGGTACATCTGGTTCTTCTGTTGGAGTCTCTGGTTCTACTAGGTCCTCCTTGAGAGTATCTGGTTCTTCTGTTGGAAGCTCTGGTTCTTCTAGGTTCTCCTTTAGAGCCTCTGGTTCTTCCTTTGGTACATCTGGTTCTTCTGTTGGAAGCTCTGGTTCTTCTGGTTCTACCTTCGGTACATCTGGTTCTTCTGTTGGAGTCTCTGGTTCTACTAAGTCCTCCTTGAGAGTATCTGGTTCTTCTGTTGGAAGCTCTGGTTCTTCTAGGTTCTCCTTTAGAGCCTCTGGTTCTTCCTTTGGTACATCTGGTTCTTCTGTTGGAAGCTCTGGTTCTACTAGGTCCTTATTGAGAGTCTCTGGTTCTACCTTCGGTGCACCTGGTTCTTCTGTTGGAGTCTCTGGTTCTACTAGGTCCTCCTTGAGAGTCTCTGGTTCTTCTGGTTCTTCCTTCGGTACATCTGTTTTTTCTAGGTTCTCCTTGGGGGTCTCTGGCTCTTCCAGCTCCTCCGTCGGCACATTCGATTCTCCTAGTACCTCCTTTTGGGTCTCTGGTTCTCCTAGTTCTTCCTTCAGGACCACAGCTTCTTCTAGTTCCTCCTCCAAAGCTTCCGGTTCGTCTGGTCCCTCTGATTCTTCTAAATCTTTGTCCTTCGGGGCTGTTATAACCTCCTTCGGGATATCAGAGTCTCCAGGTTCCTTCCTCGGGGTCTCTGATTCCTCTATTTCCTTCTCTGAAACCCCTGGTCCTTCCAGGCCTTCCTGTGAGTCCTCTTGCTCCTGTAGATTTTTTTCCTGTTGTGTATCCTCCAGGTCCAAGTCATGCTCTGCATTCTCAGAGTCCTCCAGTACCTGTGGGTCATTCTGTAGGACCTCCAAATTCTGTGAATCTTCCAGCTTCTGTGGATTGTGTTGTTGTTTTTGATTCTCTAAGTTCTGAAGAGTCTGTGGCCCCGCTGGATCCCCCAGCCCTTTCAAATTTTCTGCCCTCTGTTGGTCTTCCAGGTTCTCTGTTTTCTGTAGGGACTTTAAGTCTTCTGATTTCTGAGAGTCCTTCAACTCCTGCATTTGTGTATCCTTCAGTTCATCCGAATCGTATGAGTCGTGAGCGACATCTTGGTCTTGTGGGCGGTCAATGTCCCGCGGGCTTCTCAGCTTCAAGGACTCCCGGGTGAGGAAGTTGGGCAGAAACACGTCCACCATTTATTCGACGATTCTTAAGATGCTACTCTACCACAAGCGCTTCCTCGCATTGTTGGACTGTCTAAAGTTTTCCTGAAGATCTGTTTTGCAGTCTAAACTGCAAAAGCATTGCTCATTACTTTTGTTATTGTTAAAATGCTTACTATAGCACTGCTATACCTGGAGTATTACCACGACACACTGTTGCTGCGGGTGCCTCCTAAAGCTTTAATCTTACTAGTGTGCTTCTTAAATTCACTACCGGTAGTCCCACCTGGTGCTTTTTAAATTTTTTTAATAAGTTCAAAAATGCAATGAAAGACACCAACTCCTAACACAATTATTACCTTAATAATTCGTGGTGTCATTTTGAGACTTATCTAATTTCTTTGAATTTATAAACCTTTTGCAGTCTGTTACTTGTCTTACTACAGCTGCACACACACACACACACACACTCACACCCCCACACCCCCACTACCCCCCACACCCTCACACCCCCACACCCCCACTACCCTCATTCACAGCATGCCGAGCTAACTCACCCGTTCTTCTCACATCTCTCTGCGACTGACATAACACACTATGTCTCAACACCCTTTTATACTCATTATTTATACCCTTCTTGTCCCTTAATTACTTGATACAGGTCACATGGGTTCCAGTCCTATACTAAGCCAGATCCCTAACCACACCCTAACCACTAGCAATGTGGCCTATAAGGATTGGGAATTATTTGGGTTGGATCCCCTTAACAAAGTCATCATTTATAGCTACGATGTTTAACTGACGACTGATCCTCGCACTTATTATCATAACTTGTGATTTACTCAGTCCTGACACTTTCCAGAGCACTTGTAAGATAATGTTCTGTACCAATCACTTTATAACTTAATTTACCGGGAGTGATTTATACACTTAATGTCCACTTATGTCTGGTTGATAAATATCCTACACTTTTCTGGCACTTACAAATGGGTGGTGATACACATTGTTGCACTTAATACTCAATATTCAAGTTCGTTAAGCACAAGTAAGCGACCTTTCTCACACCAAGCACTGGACAGTTACGGAACACCTTTCATATAGCCACCAAACGTAGTCACTGTACGTACACCTTTAGCCAAGTTTATGTTACTTATGACGATTTTAAGTTTCAATAAGAGGTTACGATTTCCTCTCCGACTGTTTGCACCAAGTTACAATTTATATTCCGACTGTTTGCATATGTCAACAATTTCTTCCCAAGTCACTGTCCTTCACACCAACCACAACTTCTGGACGCACCCCGACACTACCACCACTCTACACACACTGGTGGCAACACTACCCTTACCACCATTACCACAACAACTACCACAACAACTACCACAACTACAACTATTCTGGCCCTTACATACATACATACACACACATTCGCTAGAGATTAAGGGGGGAGATTCTTGAACTAGTTACCAGCTTCAGTGTGCCAGCAAAGACAGACACACATACACACATTCGCGCGCGCGCACACACACTGATGGAGAAAGAAAGTTCCTTATGCTAGAAAGTATTTTAAACTGGATAAGAAAACGCAATGGTTCATCCTCGCATAGTGATCACCATCCCCACCACCATCATCACCATCCCCACCACCATTATCACCATCCCTACCAGCAGCATCACCATCCTCACCACCATCATCACCATCCTCACCACCATCATCACCATCCCCACCACCATCATCACCATCCCCACCACCATTATCACCATCCCCACCACCATCATCACCATCCCCACCCACCATTATCACCATCCCCACCACCAACATTACCATCCCACCACCATCACCATCCTCACCACCATCATCACCATCACCACCACCATCACCACCATCATCCACACCACCATCATCACCATCCCCACCACCATCATCACCATCCCCACTACCATCACCATCCTCACCACCATCATCACCATCCTCACCACCATTATCACCATCCCCACCACCATCACCATCCCACCACCATCACCATCCCCATCATCACCATCACCATCCACCATCCCATCACCATCATCACCATCCCCACCACCATCACCATCCTCACCACCATCATCACCATCCTCACCACCATTATCACCATCCCCACCACCATCCATCCCCACCACCATCACCATCCTCACCACCATCCTCACCATCCTCACCACCATTATCACCATCCCCACCACCACCATCACCATCCTCACCATCATCACCATCCCCACCACCATTACCACCATCCCACCAGCAGCATCACCATCCTCACCACCATCATCACCATCCCCACCACCATTATCACTATCACCCAGCATCACTCACCACCATCATCACCATCCTCACCACCATCATCACCATCTCCACCACCATCATCACCATCCCCACCACCATCCTCACCACCATCATCACCATCACCACCATCATCACCATCATCACCACCATCACCATCACCACACCATCATCACCATCCTCACCACCATCACCATCCCCACCACCATCATCACCATCCTCACCACCATCATCACCATCCCCACCACCATCACCATCCCCACCACCATCATCACCATCTCCACCACCATCACCATCCTCACCATCATCACCATCCTCACCACCATTATCACCATCCCCACCACCAACATTACCATCCCCACCACCATCACCATCCTCACCACCATCATCACCATCCTCACCACCATCATCACCATCCTCACCACCATCATCACCATCCCCCACCATCATCACCATCCCCACCACCATCATCACCATCCCCACCACCATCACCATCCTCACCACCATCATCACCATCCTCACCACCATTATCACCATCCCCACCACCATCATCACCATCCCACCACCATCACCATCCCCCACCACCATCATCCACCATCCCCACCATCATCACCATCCCCACCACCATCATCACCATCCCCACCACCATCACCATCCTCACCATCATCACCATCCTCACCACCATTATCACCATCCCCACCACCATCATCACCATCCCCACCACCATCACCATCCTCACCACCATCCTCACCATCCTCACCACCATTATCACCATCCCCACCACCATCATCACCATCCCCACCACCATCACCGTCCCCACCACCATCATCACCATCCTCACCATCCTCACCACCATCCACCATCCCCACCACCTTCAACAACCATCCCCACCACCATTATCACCATCCCCACCACCACCATTATCACCATCCCCACCACCAACATCACCATCATCACCATCCCCAACACCATCATCACCATCCCCACCACCACCATCGCCATCCTCACCACCATCACCATCCTCACCACCATCCTATCACCATCCCCACCACCAACATCACCATCCCACCACCAACATCACCATCCCCACCACCATCATCACCATCCTCACCATCCCACCACCAACATCACCATCCCCCACCACCTTCAACAACCATCCTCACCACCATTATCACCATCCCCACCAACATCACCGTCCCCACCACCACCATCATCACCATCCCCACCACCATCACCATCGCCACCACCATCATCACCATCCTCACCACCATCATCACCATCTACACCACCACCAATACCATCATCACCACTATCAGCATCACCATTAACACCACCACCAGCAATCATCACCACCACCACCACCATCATCATCATAATCTTCAATACCATCATTATCATCATCATCAATACAATCACCATCACCATCACGATTAACACCACCATCACCATCATCACCACCACTAGCCACACCATCATCACCAGCATCCAGTCAATCACACTTACCTGTAAACAAATAACAAGCTGTAAACATCACCCCCTGTACTGTACGTAGCTGTAATGTTAGAGTTCTGGGGCCAGATACTCAAAAACATTTATGGGACTGTATGTTGTTGTGTACCCCGTAACTGGACTTACAATCTCAGATTGGCATACTCAAAACACAGATGGTATACTCAAAACAAATATTTGAAATCGAACTCCGTAAGTTAAAGCGCGTAACTTACATCAGCTCCTGAGGTTGTGTACCACTCTCAACCCTGATGAAGTAATGACTAATTCCTGATTGTATAAAAAATAATAATAATATATGTTGTAATAATGCTTGTTAGGCTTGTTTTATCATAGAATAATGAAGAAAATGTTTTGTACATCAACATAATGAAATATAATATTTCACTTTTGTTTTTTTCGTAACTTTTTTGTTGCCATAATAAGCGGCTTGAGTGTTTGTATTTGTCTCAGTTTGGAAGAGAGACATCTTTTGTCTTCTTACACATTATAAAGTATTTTTTACCAAAACAGAAGGTTTGTATTGTTCACACTTAGGGTAAAAATATGTTTTATGACTGAGTAAACTTGCAGACAGAACTTATTAATGTTGTATAGCCGTAAATATCCCTCAGTAATGAAAGCCAAATATGAGGTCAAGTGAACATTCCTGCCTGGACTTCGCCTTGGTTTTCTAATATTCAACCAATAGCCTTGGCCTATTTTCTTATGTATATGGTTTATGATAACATGAAAGGCTATAAATTTCCATAGGCTAGCCAAAATTAAATGATATTAGGCGTAAAATATGGATTGCAATTAACTTGATTAATAGGGGCCTATATAACTGCTTTTTCAGTCTTAGGCAAATAAATGTTTAAACGTGGGGCCTAATTAATTTAGTTAGAGCATGAGGATTATTTAAATAAGAAATTATACCAATAGGTTATAGGTTAGATAGGTTTGGTTATGTTATGTTATGTTATGGTATGTTAGGTTAGGTTAGAGACTGTGTACATGGTTTTTTGGCGAGTGTCAGGCCGTCAGTGAGACACTTTGTCTAGCAACTACCTTAGGCCTAGTTCCAGACTTTCCTTGAACATTATCATAGGTAGAGTATTAATTTAAGAAAATTTACGGCTAATCCGATATATTTTCAGGTTTTAAATTGTTGTTTTTTGTATGAACTTGAAGACAATTCAGACCAAATGTCCCCAACATTGAAAGGAAACCACCAGGGTCT